GCCACTGTTGACAACATTGACGAGGAATACGATCGACTGGTTCAGCACCTCCATGAATATGCGAGGAATGCCAAGAGAGAGATAGCCACAAAAAAATCGCCTATATTCGAAAACTCTTGAGCTAATTCGCCAGCGTGGTTTGGCACATGCCTCAGGCAACCGCAAGCTAATGTCTGAGCTCGCAAAGCAGTGCAGAGATGCGATCAAGGAAGACCTCAAAGAGAGAAGAGCAGAAGTACTGGTAGATGTGGCAGAAGCCGGGAAAAGTATTCGTAATGCCCGCCTGTCCTTCGCCAACTACAAGACCAAGATGACTGCCCTCCGACGTCCTGATGGATCCATCACATCCTCCAGAACGGCAATGGAGAAGATTATCCATGACTTCTACTCAAATCTCTTCGATAGCCATGTCCACTGGCCGACATACCAAATTCCACAGGATGGGTATGTCATTCCCAATATTCTCCCTTCTGAAATCCGACACGCCATTTCGTTGGTAAAGAAACAAACAGCACCTGACCCAGACAAGGTCAGACCTGAACACCTGAAGAACCTGCTGTCAGTACTCATCAATACACTGGCTCGGCTCTTCACTCGCTACCTGTCTGAATGCAAGGTTCCGTCCCAATGGAAAACCAGCAGAACCGTACTACTGGTCAAGAAGGGAGACATCCATGACATTGGCAACTATTGCCCGATCTGCCTATTGTCAGTCATCTACAAGTTGTTCACTCGAGTCATCTTAAATAGGATTGGCAGAACACTAGATGAAGGACAACCATGCAAGCAAGCCGGGTTCTCAAAGGATTCAGCACGATTGACCACATCCACACAATAACCAAACTCATTGAGCTTTCTCGGGAGTTCAAGATGCCACACTGTTTAACGTTCATTGATTTAAAGAAGTCTTTTGATTCTGTTGAGACGGAAGCGGTCATTGAAGCCCTAGCCAATCAGGGCATTCAAGCCCAATACATCAGGATCCTCCGTGAACTGTATTGCAGATTCACTACCAGGATCTCACCATTCTACAAAGAAGTGATCGTTGATGTCAAGAGAGGGGTGTGGCAGGGTGATACCATTTCACCGAAACTCTTCAGTGCCACCCTCGAGAACATCATGCGATGACTGGAATGGGAAGGAATGGGAGTGAAGATAGATGGCCGGCAACTACACCACCTCCGCTTTGCTGATGACATTGTTTTAATAACACCAAACATCAGCCAAGCGGCACAAACGCTGGCCAACTTTGACCGTGCGTGTGGAAAGGTAGGACTACAGCTGAATCTTACGAAGACAATATGAGAAACAGCCTCATTCCTGACGCCCCATTTGCTCTCAACTGAACGACTATCTCCGAATGCAACAGCTATGTGTATCTAGGTCGAGAGGTCAACATGACAAATGACCTGGCACCCGAGCTGCGCAGGAGGAAGAGAGCGGCTTGGAACACCTTCAATAACGTCGAAGAAGTAGCTAACAGGACGAAGAACCTCCGGCTCCGGGCACATCTCTTTGATTCCACTGTTCTTCCTGCGTTAACATATGCCTCAGAGACCTGGTCCCTACGCAAACAAGATGAGAACGCTATTCAGGTCTCCCAAAGAAGAATAGAAAGAGCTATGTTTAGAATATCATGTTTCACTCAAATGAGAGAAAGAATCTGGAGTTCTGACATCCGTCGACGATCAAGAATCAGGGACGCTGTCTCATTTGCTAAGGTGTCAAAAGTCAGATGGGCTGGTCACGTAATGAGATTTAAAGACGACCGCTGGACTAGAGCTGTTACCGACTGGATTCCACGGAATGTCTAAAGACTGCATGGCCACCCACCTACTAGATGGTCAGACTTCTTCGTCAAGATCATGAACGATCGGTTTGTGGCCCTTCATGTTCCTGGAGCGAAGAGATGCCATTGGGCTACACTAGCACGCGACAGGGACAAATGGAGACATTACTGGCGCCCGGTCGAGCAAATCGATGACTAACGGGAAGTTAAGTGATTAAGTGATGACAAACTTTAAAGAAAAAAATCTATTTCTTTGAGAAAAAAATTGTTCAGATAAATATTCAAAGTCACTGAATTCAAAGAATCTGCATGAAGCTATATTTCTGTTACAGACATTTTTCATTCAAATTTTCACAAGATATCAAATACCCAGCCTATATTTAAGAATATTGATCCTTACTGGCCCTTGCAAATTCTACTGGCCTATGAATCAAACACCCAGAGAATCTACTGAAAGTGATACCAACATCCACATTATTTTTTTCTTTCTCAGCATTTCTGTCTTTGTACTGTGACCGTTTATTCTCCCTTTTCAGGACTTCCCCTCTCCGTCCCTTTCTCTGTAACCCAGATTTAGTCTAAGGCCTCTGTGAGCTGTGATGTGACTCTGGCATGAGTGACCTTGACGTGGGGCCGGAAGGATTCCCTTCTCCATGGGGCTGTCTCTGAACACACCTCCCTCGGGAAACAGGTGTGAATCAGTATGGACTCATTTCTCAGTGCTCACACTTCCTGTCCCGGATGGTGCTGAGGACACACTTCCTCTATTCACTTTGGGAATTGTGGGACTCTGAAGGCCACCAACAGAACACAGGAGGGGCTGTAGTGGCTCTGACGACCACCAGAGGGCACTAGGGAGCCACTTCAGAAACCGCTTCAGACCCACCAGGGGACAAAGAGGGTCACCATTTGCTAGAAGCTCACACTGGCCAATATTCTGTTACAACAGAGACACTCAGTCCCCAATAGCCTCACCTACTCCCATTCATCATTCCCAGTTCCACCCTCTTTCCTAGGACCCTTCCCTGTTGCTCCCAGAGCAGCTCCACTTTCAGTGATACCCTCATACTCCCAACCCCCTCCCTGTGATCTGTCCTCCCTGTCCCCCACACTCACCCCACCACACCCCCAGTACTCCAAGGCCTGGCAGGGTGAGTATTAATCAGTACTTTCCTGGTTTGTTATCATTTTTATAGCTCTCTCTTTGATGCTCATGTAAGATATACAACAGTTTTTCCTCATCTTTCTCACTCCTTCTAGAAAGCTTGTGTGACCTATTTTAAAGATCCAGCACTGAAAGTAATCCAAGACAACTTTAGTCATGAATAAAAACCCATAATATATCCCTAGAGTGGAAGGCTATTGAGAGTGAATCCTTGTCATCACACCCTGCATACACGTATGCAAACAGAAATTACTGCAGAAGCATGAGGGAGGGGTGAGGTGTGGGGGAAGGAATACCATGGACCAGGGGGAAACACTGGGGTGAGGGGTTCATGCACTGTTTTGGGTGTGAAGATCACTGCGTAGGTGTTCATATGTGCCAGTGCTCATGAAACATCAATGATCTACAAGTCAGTATTCTGTGTAGGGCATGGGCTCCTGGAATTTTTACTGCTAATCAAATATTGACATGCTAAGAAGGAGACTGAGGTGGGGCTGATGTGAAGAGTCATACCCCATGCACCTCCATGCATACTAGTCTCCAAAATCCTATTCCAGGTAAAGGCAAAAATCAGAATAAATACAATTTGTTATTCTCATTACAGTTAAGAAGTTCTTGACAGCTGCTAGCCCATATTTTCTTTGGTGTTATTTGTGAGCTTTTTTCTGGTTTGGGGGCTATTCCTGGCATTTCTCAGGGATTACTCCTGACTCTGCACTCAGAAATTACTCTTGAAATTGCTGGGAGAAGCATATGGGATACTAGAGTTCAAACCTGGGTCAGCCATGGGCAAGGCAAGTGCCCTGCCACTGCTATCCTTCAGTCCCTGTTGGTTTGGATTTGTTGTTGTGCCACTCTGGTTATACTGATGGCTTCATATTCAGGGGCCACTCCTGGTGGGGCATGGGAAACCATACGAAGTGCAAGGAATGACCCTTGATCACCCAATGCAAGGAAAGAAGCTTACACCTCTGCCGCACTACATCTCTTGTTACTGGGGAACAAACCTGGTGAACAGGGACAGACCATGGGATGCTGTGAGTATTTTAAAGATAGGCTTAAAGAGAGAAGGGGTAGGGAGTCAGGGGACAAGCAGGATTGTGGACGGAGAGCTCCTAATGTCAACACAGTGAGAGTTTTCACTTAGAACCAGGAATCGTCAGAAGAACGACATTCTTAGGTCAGCTGCCTGACTTAGTCTATCTGAGCTAAGCTTTTACACATCCGAGGTCCTTTGATATCAGGACAAACATCTTTAACCTCAGAGATGGTTCCTCTGGGAGAAACGGCAGAGACAGAGCAAACACAGGATCCTGCCTCAGGTTTCCCAGATATCAGAGATGTGCTGTCTGGCCATTCTGCCTTATTCCTAATTCTGTTTTAGTTTTGGGTTCCCAACTCATTCATAACTCAGTGTAATTCAGTGGATTACTTTTGTCTCAATAATGGGACCAACTCTTACAATGTGTGATGAGAATATAGTATAAAGTATTTTAGCTTTTCTGTGACAAATGGTGCATGAAACAGAAGTATGACTGTAGATATTACATGATAGTCATCAAAAATTAGAGCAAAATATCACAAATTAAATTTCTTGTCATATAACAATTGCATGACAGAATCTTTTCCGGGTCACAACTCACCCCCAGAAGCAGACATTTGCTCTGGAGTCCTTACTCTTTAGGTTCAAACAGATCTTATGTAGGAGGAGGATATGCAAATGAGTCTCAACCTGCTATGATGAAAACAGACCAGCCCAGCCTCAGTTCCAGGAGAGGAGTCAATTCAGGGATTTCAAGTGGCTCCAATCCTGATTCACACAGAACCAACATGGCGTGTGGGCTGAGCTGGCTTCTCCTGGTGGCTGTGTTAGGAGGTAACTCGTGGGCGACAGAGACATGAAGCATGGGAGAAATGCTCTGTGTGAGGAGAGTTTCCTGACCAGGATGTCTTTGTGTTTGCAGGGGTCCAGTGTGAGGTGCAATTGGTGGAGTCTGGGGGAGACTTGTTGCAGCCTGGGGGGGACTCTGACTCTCTCTTGTGCAGCATCTGGATTTACCTTTAGTGACTACTGGATGAACTGGGTCCGCCAGACTCCAGGGAAGGGCCTGGAGTGGATTTCAGACATTAGTGCTAGTGGTGACACTATAAGGTATGCTGACTCTGTGAAGGGCCGATTCACCATCTCCAGAGACAGCAGCAAGAACACGCTCTCTCTGCAAATGAGCGGCCTGAGGGAGGAGGACATGGCCCTGTACTACTGTGCGAGATACAAAGTGAGGGGAAGGCCCTGTGGGCCCAGACACAAACCACCTGCAGGAGGAAGCAGGGTGAGCTTCAGTGGCGCAGGTCCCCAGGAGGCTCTTAAGACCCTTTCCTGAGGAGACTTTGCTCATGACAGATGAATCATCTTTCTATCGAGATCAGGCATGACCTGCCCCTCAGCTCTCAGATGAAACCATGAGCACCTTGTCCTGTGGGTTTTTTCTATGTGTCCCCATCCCCACTTGGGACAGGAAAGAGTTGGTCACACTCTCTGCCTTCTGATGGAAGATTCCAGTGATGGGACCATGACTTCACTGGAGCATGAGTGGAACATTACATTCTTGCACAAATTAAAATTACCCTCTAAGGATGTTCAACAGCCCCCTGGGAAGTTTAACTTCATCAACGTGAATCATTGGCATGTATTCAGCTCTGGGAAAATCTCACAGGCTTCTGTGCTCTGAACCAAACCCTATGGACTGAGACACACAGCTTCATCCTCACCAGATTACTGGGATCGACTTGTTTTTAGGTCTTAGGAAATCTTTTATGCTATATAAATTATATTAATTTATTTCCCAACTGTTGAACTGAAGGTGAGCAGAAGGAATGATGCACATAGCAAGTGTGGGGAACGATCCAGAGTCAGTCTCTCTCTGAGCACATGCCCTCCCCGATTTTCCGATCTACATCAACCCTGAAAATACTTAGCTCCTTACACTGAGTTCCCAAGACCACTGCAAATGTCACATCTTAATGATGGGTTTGTCCCTGTCAGCTAACCTTATTCTCTCGTAAAATTAACCAAGAGCAAGAGATTTAGGAATTAGAATCTAAATCCCTCCCCACCTGTCACATGGTGACCCCACTGAGTCAGCACTCGGTTCTGGTGTCCTTCCAAAGACACCTCTTTAACACCACAAATCCACTATTAGGTCTTTAGTTACAGTAGTGAATGAGTTTTAAAAGCCAATGCCAATAAAAGACAAAGATTGAAGGTATGTTTCTTATTGGAAGTCATACTATCAGACAAGATACCAAAAGAATAAAATAGATAAAAATAGGATCTAATCTCTATGTTAAAAGATGTCATCCAAATATGGAGGTATGTGTTTTTGTTTGATTTGGAGAACACACCTGGAAGTGCTCCGCCTTTACTTTCTGTCTGTGTCCTGGTCCCACCAGTAGTGCTCAGGTATCAATGAGTGGGCCTGGAAAAAGAGCTTAGGACACTCACGTGCAAAGCATTCCATTGAGCTGGCCCAAATTGCTATTAAGAACAAACTAGAAAGCACTTTTGTCATTCCAAGAGTGTTAGCGATCAGAAAACACAAAATGAATAATCTAGGCTTTTGTTTATTTCTAATTCATTTCTTACCGTGCTTCTACTAAATGTATACCAGGATGTTTTATTTACGCTACATCCTTAGGAGGGAAACACACACAAAATGAGTGAAGTAGCATTTTAAAAAAGTAAGAAACCGAGATCCCGGACGAAAACAGTGCAGTCTTTTGCCCCCGCGCCTGGGTGTCCCTCGCTGGGACCCCTTGGAGGGGAGCGGGTCGAGCTTTCCTCCCCGCCCCGACCGGGGCTCTGGCAGCCGAAGACCTCCAGGACCAGCCACCACCATGCTGAGACCACTCTCCACACACATGAAGGTACTGGCAGAGGGACAAAGCCACGTGGGTTCCGGAGCCGAGACCTCCAAGCCTACTGGAATTGGAGTCGAGCATCTTCCACCCAGATCCTCCAAATTCCAGTAGGTGGGGGTCACACCCACCACCTGGCCCCCTGGCGCCGTGTAATCCCATCAGCGGCCAAGACTCAGAGACTATAAAATCCAGATCCCGGAACCGCGCGGCCGCATTCGTGGCCGCGCGACATCTTATCAGAACTTTTCTTTATGACATCTTATTATCTCATTCCTACTTTGGACAAACTTGCAGGCTATCGAATGTAGCCTGCCCACAGGGCAGAGTCTGGCAAACTCCCCGTGGCCTACCAAATATGCCAAATACCAGTAACAATGATGGGTCTCATTCTCCTAAAGAGCCATGAATATAATCTCAGGGCTAGGATGAAAGAGACGTTACTGGGGCCTGCTCGAGGCAATCGACGATTAACAGGATGATGAAATGAAAAATGAAATGAAGAAATTTATCTTATTTAGTATGTTAAAAATAAATCTCTAAAGGTTTATGAAATCTAAGTTAAAGTTGGTGGTTGGAAACAAGTTTCCACAGGTTTAAGGAAGTTCACTGTTGGCTTTGGGAAGTAGCTTTAGAAAACGCCCCATCCTTGTGCATCTCCCAGTCCACTTGGATGACTCCTGAGATCCGGGGCTCCAGCTGCCCTGGACACGCTGCTGTGGGGGAGGTAGGGACAGGAGGAGGCCACGGACAGCGCTGCCCACGAGGCCCCGTGGCCGAACCCAACTCGGGCTGTCCAGGGGCGCAGGGCCCAGAGGGTTGGTTAGAAGGAGCAGGAGGGGCGGGGGCAGGGCTACCCGACCTTTTCCCCCTTCCAGGATAGATCTCCTGAGGGCCCGCAGTGGGGAGCAGTGGTTCCAGAACCTTCCTGGGATCCTGAGCTAGGTACTGTCTGCTCCCCTCTTCTACCCTCCCTCCCATACATCTCTCTCCCTCCCTCCCTCTCTCTCTCTCCCTCTTCCATTCTCTCCCTCTCCCTCCCTCTCTCTCTCCCTTTCTCTCTCCCTCTCTCTCCCCTCTATCCCTCTCTCTCCTTTCTCTCTCCCTCCCTCTTTCTCTCTCCCTCCCTCTTTCTCTCTCCCTCTCTCCCTTTCACTCCCCCCTCCTCATTCTTGTGTCCTTCCCTCCCTCCTCTCCCTTGGCCACTGGAGTTTCTCTGAGGGACCGAGGTGTGGGTGCTGGGCACTGGGGCTCAGCTGGGGCGCCTTCTCCCCCTGTGCTTTCATCCTTTCCTCTGCCCCATGGGAGACTCCGACCGCCCTATTTTTTCTCTGCACCCTTCTGCCTGCATGAAGAATTCTGCTTTCCTCCGGCTTTCTGGAATCACCAGAGGGGTGCTTTGACAGCATCTCTGGCTACTTACTGCCCTACTAGATCAAGCTCCTTGTTTGCAGAATAAGTATAAAGTGTCTGTGGATCTCTGCAAATGTCTCTCTGCACCACTTTCCATCGCCCTTGTTGCACTGCCCTCTCCCCAACTGGATGGACCGAGTAACGGGCACTCCAACTTCATCCAGGAAGAGGGGTGTGAGGTGCAGGGATGTGTCACAGCATTCAAACCTCTCTGCTTTGTGTGGCCACAGAGTGCCCTGGGCATTGTGTGAAGACTTATTCTGCTACTTCCCAATCATCTCCCTGTTGCGGAGGGGGAGGTCACTGAGTGAGGTGCAGACACAGGATCTCCTTAAGCCTCTTCTCTCTGTCCCTGTGAGCATAAGCTCTGTCCTCGACCAGACTGGCTGGCGCTGAGATCCCATTGTGGCTCAGAAGTAGGGCCCATATTGACATCTTGAGTGGATCATCTCCCTTGCTGTGTCTGCCCTGCCAGGGGACAGCAGGCTTGGCAGCTGCTTCTGAGTTGACACATGAGTGTGAACAAGGGGTATCCCAAGTCTGGTCAATTATCAGGGGAATCTGGGCCCTAGCATGGAGCTGAGACCTTAGGAAACATGAGACACGTAGGGTCTGGGTCAGGGTGCACAAGCCACTTTCCAGCTGGCCCCTCAACTTCCTTCCTGCATTCTCTGTCATGAGGTCTAAACAATGTCCAGAACACTTCCTCTTTCTCTACCTGTCATGTCCGCTTCTAAAATAAGAAATATTTGTGGAACACCAATATTTAAGAAAGATGTACATTGTGTAGTCATGTCAATTGATGCTTTCAGATGACCTACTTACATAAACAATGTGGACAGATTGAATAATCAAATTCATCTACCTTCTGGGCAACCAGGTTGACATGACAAGCAGAAATGGAATTAATAAAAATTTCAGTAGATGAAGTTAAAACTCAATTGGTACCCTCAACATAGAATAACAACAGTGGAAACAGTCTCAGTGACCTTAAGGATGAGATACAGAAAACCTCGGGGCAACAATAAAACTTGGTAAAAGATCTCAAAATAACTCAAAGACAAAGCAGAGAAAGGATCATTTTTAAGAGGAGCAACATAAGGATCATCAGAATCACAGAGAGATAAGGAGGTAACTGCAATGAAGTAGTAACAGTTAAGGACATTACTGCTGAAAACTTCAAACTGGAGACCACAGGCACCCAGATCCAAGAAGCCAGCATGTACCAGCTGAAAGAGAGGCTAATCAAAAGACTCTGAGACATATCTTAATTAAAGACTCCGAATTAGGATTCATATCCTAATCAGAAGTACCAGTCCATAAATCTAGATCAATACTGAGAGCAGCAAGATCAATTTAAGAAAGTACATACAAAGGAGTGTCCTAAGATTTACAGCAGAGCTATCAAATGAATCTTCTGGGTCCAAAGACTATGCATAGATAGAGTTTTAAAAAATTAACAAAATGGAAATTCACCAAGACTACTTTACCCAGTAAGCTCTCATTCATATTCAAAAGAAAAGTACCCTAATTCTTGGATAAACGATAGCTCAGAAACTGCAAATGTAAGGGACAGGCCCAAAATGGACTACCACCAGAATTAATTTCGCTTAGCTTAATAGGAACCTGCATTGCAAAATCACTTGTTTTTCAAGGAACAGGTCTAGATAAGCTTTTTCAGACCTGCACTGCAAAATAACTGGTTTTTCTGCCCCTGAGCAAGGAATTCAGATACAGGTACTCGAAAGGTGGGGGTCAGACCAGATAACTGGATGTCTCTCACAAGACCCATATTGCAAGACCCAGGACTGCCTTAAAAACCTG